AGCCTCAGGCCCCCGGCGCGCCGCCTTCCCATCCCGCCTATGGCGAAGGGAGGATCCCGAAGCCACAGGCTACGGGTACGATCCCGAGCTCCAACGCCCAAGGCGGAGGCAGACACCCTAAGCCGTTCGCACCCGGCTACGCCCCTCCGTACCCAGGGGGTGGCGCCTCCCAGGGCGCCGCCACGGTCCGCGCGAGATCCTACCGAAATTCCTTCGCAAGCGCCACCGAGTAAGGGGCCGCCCCCCAGCCCACCGAAGGCAAAGCCTCCGCCTCCTGGGTTCGGGCCAAGTCCAACCGACGCGAGAGTGCCTCCGTCGCCACCGCCAAGCAGCTATGCGCCAGCAGAGGAGCATAGCAAGCCACCGCCTGCAAAGCAGCCTAAGCAGAAAAGGGCACCTCCCGCGCCACCGCGCGCTCCACCTGCGGATGCCGCGGACGGCCGAGAGCAGCAGGCACCCGGCAACTACGCTGACCAGAATACGCAGGGACTGAACGAGCGCCTACGCAGATTCCAGGAACAGCAAGAGGCAGCCATAACTCCTCCACAAGAGGAGGTCCCGGCACGTTCTCCAGCCCATGGCTCGGACGGCATGGGCCAGCAGGCGACCGGCGACTACGCCGCGAGCGAAACGCAGGGGCTGAGGCGACGTCTTGAAAGAGAACAAAAGATTAACGAATACAGCAGGGCTGCTGCAGCCGAGCAACGGCAACACGCCGAGGCCGGCGCCTCCGCGGCAGCTGAGGAGCAAAGGCCGGCTCCCGCGTCGTCGCCAACGGTCAGCTCATGGCCACCAGACCTCTCCGACTACGAGTTTGACGAGACGACGCAGCACCCCGAGCAAGTCCCCATTCCACCAGATGACGAGATGGGGACTGACACGCCACCGGGGGGCGAAGATGGGCCAGATCCAACGCTGGAGGGGGGGGCGAAGACACCTGGCGACGATCGTCGAGGCTAATTACTCAATCCCCAGACAAAATGGAAGTGGACGCGGCAACACAGGGGGCACCCTACACCGTTGATTACGAAGCGCCCGGTACTGAGGGTCAGGGCCGGAGAGTCCAGAGTCACGGTTGCGACTCCCCGACGGCGCACGCGCCACAACAACCAATGGCGGCCGGCCCGAAAACGAACGACGACGGAAAGGCAAAGAAGCAGCACCGATGTGCCCTTGCTGACCGAACAGGCATCCACGGATATTGGAATGCCTTGGAATACTGTCATGAACGATTCAAATCGGAAGAAAGACCAGACCTGCGAATGAACATGACAATATTGCCGAACAACGTACCAAAGCCCGAATACCGCAATGCTGTTGAGTATCGGTGAAGCGCCCGCCTGCATCATTCGGCCTGAAGCGGTGACATCACTCGCCATGCTAAGTTTCCCGCAGGCTTGCGCTGCGCTGAGTAGTCTCATCAGGGCCGCGGGGATCTCCATCTCGCATTTCAGGTGAGGCAATCTATCTCTATGCGGCCTTTGACGTTCCACACTCGACGCGGTACAAGCCCAGTCCGACCAGGACATGGCATCGTAAGATTGGGCCCGGCCTGAGAGAGAGCGACCGGTTGTTCGGCGATGTGGAATACATGGTCTCTTCTGACTCTACAATATCGTTTGTCAACAATAAGGGGAGCCCCGCGTTGCAAGCCGCACTCCTGCGAGAGCTTCAGAACAGATCAACCGCCGCTAACGCAATGATCCAGAACGGAGCAACACTGGACGACATTCGGGCCATTCTACGTTCAACGAACTGGACCCCATCCACCGGGAAGCTGTAAGACTCGCTGCCGCGTCATGATATGGAACGGCAATGAACTTTGCGCTCGCGGTGAAGGCTCGCAGAGACGAGTCAGGGGGGCGAGCAGAGAAGATACGCCATCTGACTACGACGATGTCGATAGAGACGCCCTATCAATGATAGATGACGTCGTCGATGAACAGGCGTACATCGCAAACACTACGTGCGAGATGCGAGTGTTCCTCGCCCTCGGCGATGGTGAAAGCTGGGGCCAAGTTAAGACCAGCTCCGACTGCACCATATGGGGCCCTCTTGCCTTTCGCGTCTTCGCATGGGGACAGAATCGGATACGCCTCTACCAAGAGGCCGGTTTAAACCCAAAAATGCCCATGCTCCGCGGCTCGGAACTGTATCATCGAGGAGAGCATCCTGAGCATGACAACTGGCATTTCTTGCCCGGCGGTGACAACTACTCGCGCGCCGCAGACTTCGCCAAGTACATTATAAACGCGGCTAAGGTCTGCTATGAGCTTTGTTGTCCACCCGTCCACCCTTCGATGTCGTTGAACGTCCTCATGGCGCCGGGGCTTCAGCCGTTCCGCCGCCGCCGCCAATGGCGCCTCCGCCGCCGGCCAATGCGCCGATGCCTAAGCCTCCAGGCGTGGCATGACCTATGATAAGCGACGTCATTTCCACTCGGGGCCGCTTCGAAATGCAAGGTGGGCGAAATATTCCCATTTGGCGATGTTGGTGCTCCTCAGCACATGCCGCCTGATTCGGTCAACGTCAATTCCAAGGAATTCATATCATGGCTGGGGGAACACCACGACAATAGACCGGCATGGGCGGATCGGCGGCACACCACGGTACCACAATGTCGACATCTACGGGATGGAGCTAGAAGCTGGTTCTCACATGGAGGTACTACCGACCGATAATAGCCTGGAAAAGGTGATTGCCGCGATCGAGACAGGGACGACAATGTTGTTCACAGCGCGCAAGAAGGCTGCACCGAAAGTCGACGCGGCGAACGTGTCTGCCGCTGCAGCAGCGACGTCCGACGGTCCAGGCACTACCGGCAATCCTCTGTGGGATACAATCATCCAGAGCGTTCTGCGACATTCGACCATAGACAACCAAAATGAACACATAGTCTGCGTCTTCGGGCAGGTTCGGGCGCAATGCCCTGACTTCTTTAACGCGTGCGAGGAGCACCAGAAGGCTGCGGTAGTCGGCGCAAGAGACGGATCGGACACCTTGCCAACAACCGAGACGATATTCGGCAGTGATCAGGGCGTCGACTACGAGCTAATGCTCATCCCACGCGAGCCCGAAAACAAGGAGGATGAATTCCACCTAGTCGAATCGTTCTTTGACGCCGACGAATGGTACAACACGGCGAAGGGGCGGATCGCTGCTCGAGAGTGGGTGGCGAAAAAAGATGCGTCTGGCACGGTCTCCGCGAATCACAGAAGAGCATTGTAAAAGGAGAGCAATCGAGCACCTGACAACGCGAAGATTACTCACGACCACGTTGCCAGTCGCATCGTGTTCTGCGTTATTCGACTGGAGCATGGCCAAGTACACTGAGAAGGATTTCTGCGCGGTGCTGGAAATCCCATTCCGGCTGCCTGATTGGGTCAATGATCTCATGGCAGCGGAACGATGGGAATCCTACTCGCACGCAACGGACGTCCGCAAGGTCTATGCGATTCTGAACGCAGGCGTTTTCCCCCCTTCAAGCTAAGGTGGGGCATGGGGGCAAAAACAGATAAGAAAGCAAAAGATAAAGCCCCCGCCGAGGGCGTATATGCTTTCCGTGGAAGCGAGACGATTTACTACTTACACCAGAGTTACAGCCACGGTGCTCAGCTCTGGGACGATGGCAACATCGTCACCGTGGACTTCAAGCTCGCTACCCCACCGGCTGCACGACGAGGTTTCCGCCCAGTCGACACGGTATCAAAGGGGCGAAAGCAATTTGTGTGCAGCACGCCAGAGTTGATTGTCAAACAGTCGATGCGGCTGTAATTCATGACACCATGTCAGGCTAATCAGCAACATGTATGGGTCTTCAACTCGAAATATTCTCGCGAATTCGAAGTTAATTTCAAGGCGCTAGTAGATCCCACTCCCGTCTTGGAGCCGGGCGTAGCAATGTGGCAGATTGACAGCATTATTCGAGACCGGCTAATAGCCGAGAAGCCCAACATACCCATAGACGTTGGAAACGCGGAAAGAAAAGTACGGAGTCTCTATCAATCGACAACACAAAGAGAGATTGCCGATGAGCTCCGAGAGATCAGAAGGAAACGCGTGATGCACTTAGATCTTGGGAATTGGGACTATAACAATATGTATTCGGTGGAGCTTGTTACATAACAGTTCGACAAACCGATCCTAGTGGCCGACGGCCAACGGGATATCGCTACGCCACTCCGGCTGGCTGGTCTGCCGGAAGAACGCCCGTGTCTGAGGACAATGGAGGTGGACAAATCAACGCCGAGGATTTCGGTTCGCGATTGGATGGCCTTCCGAAACAAGCAAAAGGATGAGGAAGCGCCGGGAGAAACCGATCGCCCAACTCTGGACAATGTCACTGGCAGAATCGAGCCCCATGGGCAACGAAGGACAATGGGCCTAGTCAGACGGGGAGGCCGCCAGTCCATGATACAGGAAGCGGCAACGGCATGGCGGGAGGCGCAATCGTGCGGGCGGCGTTCAGGCTGGGGTCACATCGGGCACGCTGGGTTTAAGCGGTCACACACAGCTGATAGCAAACCGCCACGCTTCGAAAACCCCCAAGGGACGCCCCTCACGCAGCCCAGAGATCCACGGATCGGGGCCCCTGAACACCAGCCTCCGACGATGTCGCGGAGCGGGCTCGATCGAATGAGAAGCGTCTATGTAATTGCTTTTCCTGCCGCTTCCCGCATCGAACAGATGTACATATGCTCGAATATCGGCTGCTTCAGAACGACCAGGTTGGCCGTGTCCCAGGGTTCGAGACTGTACCTGGCACGAAGATGCTGCAGGTGCATGAGTTTGCCCGCAACAGCCATGCACCTGGATCGGTGCGCACCCAGATATCGGATGTATAGCAGATGGGCAGATGCCCATTTCAAATGGGCCAACCCCTAGATCCTAGAACATGAAAAGATAGAGTATGAAAAGTGGTGTGCAAGAAAGCGAACCAGGCCGTGAACCTCGATGAATCATCCGGTGAGTCTTCGTCTGAACCTGAAGACGAGATGGAGCTGGATTTTGCGGCGGACCAAGAGGAAGAGCATATCGACGATGTCGATGATGGATCTGATAGGGAAGAAGAAAGCGTGGAAGCGACGGGACTGGCAATCGTCGCCGCTTTCCAGATCGACCCGCAGACTCGTCCATGCGCTCCAGACGAAGGGACGCCATTCGGGAAGCACTATTTCCTCATAGATGGCAACCTACCGCTTCCCGAGAAGAAGCAAATTTCAGAGGAAGATCTTATGACATTATGGCCGCCGCATGAGGACCTAGAAAGGCAAACTCAGATCGGACTCGGACACGAGGAGCTGACTTACGAAGGATTTCTCGCCGGGGGCGAACGAGTTCCCCTGCTTGCGTCACCAGAATACAGGCGGGCGAACATGTCTGCACTGACCCCGGCAAAGGCACGTCTGATAGACGAACTCCACAACAATGGGCCGGTGCTCCCTAGCCAACGGATGGCTCGGGCGATCATCAGTGACCGTCTCTCTGCCTATGCGGACTTCGTGCTTGACCCACTGTTGGACTACATCAGGCACCTGCCAGAGGGCGAGCGTACCAGGGTAAACAAATACTTGCGTGCTCGATACAACACGATTGAGAGCCGCAGTTCGCCCGGATCAGACAATGCCCTGGTGCCTATGTACCCGCACTTACGCCCGAAGCTATATGTTATCGCAAGCGGGCTGGGTCGTGGCGAAGCATTCCGCCTTGCAAAGCTCATCCTCCACCTCCTCCGTCACAGTTCGGCCCACGTGCTGAGTTCGGGAGGCTGGGTGGAGGTGGACGTTTTGATAAACGTGCTTACCGATGCCGACTACGACCGTCCCTGGGCCTGATTTATGCACGCCATCGCCATGCTCCTCCCGCAAGACGCACAAATGCTGGGAGTGGAGATGAATGCGGCCCGCGAAGGCCCTACTTCCCGTCCAATGGACTGGGACTCGAGCTTCGCTGAAGTCATCAAGAAAGGAGTTGGAGCCTCCGAAGTCGACGGAGAGACCGACTCCTCTCAGGGAAGCGATGTGGAGAGGCTATACGTGATTCCAACAACACGACCCCTTCTCATCAGGGCCGTCTACGGTGATTCGCTAAGGATCATAAGCCCGTATCGCAGAAACGTCAGATACGATCCTGGCATGAGCGAGAAGCACGGTGCGTTGCTAATACCCTTGACAGAAGCTGATGTTCGACACAGCCAGGAAGGGAGAGTAGCCCCACTCTAGGACGGGACGACGGGTATCAGGCAACATGGCACTGTGGCATACACCGTGGCATTATCCCCATACGCGCATGAGATCCATGATCTTGAAGCGCTGACGCCAGAGGAGGTACACGTCCCGTTCAGCTTCTCGGAAGCCAGACAGTTGGTAGAGAAAGAGAGACGAAGAACGGATCCGCTTGGAAAGCAGCAACCGGTTCCCGACTTTCCTTCACCAAGATGGGGTTTCCGAAGACCTCTTAGGGCGGACTAATCGATCAGTGTTTGACGTACACCTGACGGACTTCAACGGCAGATACTTTACCACCATGAGTGCACGACACCTAGAGGCACATCAGCACTGGATCTTGCCAACGGGCCAAATATTTACGGACAGTGTCTTGTCATGGGATAACATTTGGCAGATTTTTTTTTTTTTTTTTTTTTTTTTTTTTTTTTTTTTTTTTTTTTTTTTTTTTTTTTTTTTTTTTTTTTTTTTTCCGAGTCGCCGGGCAACAAGCTGTCATGGCACGTCACCTATGATAGACGTCTGACCATGGTTCAAGTCATAACCTGGGCCAAGACCGGGCGCGTTGACGCACTGGAACCAAAGCAGCAGATCCGGGCTGGACACAATGTTGACATAATCGACGCCGAGCTCTGTGCGGAAGTCCAGCAACAACCAGGCTGGGAAGACGATGTATGTCTCGCGTGCCACATGGGACACAAATCAAGGTACGGCATGATAGGCTGTGCCGCATGCCACGAAGGAGTCATATATGAAGCATCAATGATACGAGGGAACAAGATGAAGCCAGCGGTTGACTGGAGGGCCGCAGGGTTCCTCAGAGACCGAGGGCACCCAAGCCCGTACCATGTACGTAATAACGGCCGGACAATGTCCAGGGCAGCAGTGGTTAAGAATCTTGGTCGCACACAAGCACGGCGCCGCGAAGGCTGGAGAAAGGATACCTACGACGGGGCCCTTGCGCGCTACTATGCCGCCATGGCGGGCAAGACTTCAACTCTTTCCGCCAAAAGAAATGGTGTTCGCCTGGATTCTGGCATCGCCAAATGACAAGCGCCCTGCCGATGGCAACAAGGCGCGAGAAATCAAGTCGCGCAAGCTGGCCCATCGATGGATGTCGTATCAGGTATACCACAACTGCCCGCCAGCAGGCAAAAATGCTGTCTGCCCGCCATGGAAATGGTGGCCATATTTGACCCGGCGTATAGATAAGACGGACTATGGTACGGATATGGGAATATTGAACATCTTCGATTGGGACACAACAGACCCCGATGCCATTGATCTCGCTGAACCCACCAGTGGATGGCGTCGATGGTGTCATGCTAATCGAGCTAACCTCCCAGAGGGTCTGGATAGTCTCTGGAGTTCGATAGAAGATGAAATCGAGGAATACTGGAGGCCCAGAGAAGAATGGGCCGCCCCAGAGGAAGGAGGGAACAGGGCAGAGCACGATCAAGAAGCGCGCATACCCCGTGCTCCCTCCAATCGGCCGCCATCGCGTGCTCATGGCAGGCGTGCCCGCTCCACCAGCCAGCGGAGGGTTCGGTCCGCAGATGCGCCGATGGCGTTCAGAGGCTGCGCAATGCGCAGGCGGACGGGCCCACGCGCCCCCAGCAGGGGCCAGGGCACATATCAAGATGACGTGACAAGCATAACCAACCAGTACCGCATCCAGCAAGCAGCCTACGAACTGGTGACGTTCTTCACTACGGTTAACGTCTCCTCCACGCATCACAAAGCGAATACTTACGCTTCATGTGAAGAGCAGTTACGCACAATGTTGAGTGACCCGCCGTGGCTTTGCGCTTACGATCCAGACCTAGATGAAGCAAGAGAGACATGGCTGGCTAAGCAAGCCTACAGGGCTACCATCGAAGTGTCGAAGACCTACAAGTGGACACTGGTTGATATGGATCATGCGAGCGAGGGCGCCAAGCGCATCCATCTCGCTGAAGTGGACAACTTCCGCGAGACGCTGCCCCGGGAGTTCAGCATCGTTAAGTCGCACCATGCGCTGGCCGAGCTAGTCCACAAAGACATCTCCAAGAACCGGCAAGACTTGCCGCACATTACTGATGACGCGCCCAACATCGAGGCGTGCATGCAGTATGTGCTACAATCTCAGCCAGCCGCTCAACTCCGAGGTCACCAGCTCACGGTCGATGCTCCCAGGCATTCGGCAGCTGGAAAGTGGGCGTTACACGTATATGAGGATGCTGTGCGCGCTCTGCAGGCGTGGGCGCAGCACGGCGCGCCGCCGCCCCCTGACTCGGATGACGAGCGTCGCCCCTCACGTGCGCCGATGGCACGAGGGGCGCGGACTCGCCAGCCCGCGGCGACCACCGCGCGGGCTGCGCGGTCCATCAGCCGAAAGCGGCCGCATAGTCCCTCGCCGACACCACCGGCGAGGGTGGCGGCATACGAAGCGGCTGCGCTTCCGCAGGCCAAGCGCGGCACGGGCAGCGCGTCAAGCGGCGCCGCTCCACCGCCTCCAGAGGCTGCGGGAAAAGGCAAGGGCGGAAAGCGACCGAAAGAGCCGGGGAGTAGCCGCGCGGCCTCCCCGCCCGCAGTCCGCCCATGCCGATTCACGGACGTCCGCCAAACCGAGTTTGGTGGCGTTGCGTCGTCGTCTTCCCAGCAAATTCCCGAGGCCCAACGCCGCCCGTGGGCTAGGGGGCAAAGCCGAACCCCTACTGACAACGCCTGGAGTGCGTGGAGGGGCGCCCCCAGCCGTGGCTGGAGCAAAGGGCCGGGGAAAGATCGCGGGAAGGGTGATTACAGCAACTGGTCCGACCGGCGCAATGACGACCGGGGCCAGTGGCGCCGCGACGGCGGATGGCGCTGGTAGGCAACAGACGCCTAACGCCGATGGCGTTCTGGAGGCTGTACCAGTGCAAGCACGCGCTTTCGGCCAATGGCCGCGCAGTGCGATGCAACTCGCATATGGGATGGCTTGAGGCTGCGGGAGCTTCGCCCCTCCATCAATACATGATATCATTGGCCAATGGCCGGATGATTAATACCACTTGACCGGCGGGCTGCTGGCGGCTGTGAGAGCCTCGCGCCCGCACTCACTGTAATTCGACGCCGTCGGGAACGAAGAGTCTCGATGGTAAGACGTCGGCCATGGCCGGCGCTGCGGCCGGGCCGCCGCGGGGGGAGTCGTTACTATACGCTCCCTGCCGCCGTCGATGTACATAAAACCACACGCAGACACATAGTTGGCCGTCTGCAGCTATTGTGGTTCGGAGAGTTAGAAGGCCCGCGCCCGCCCCGCGCGCGCGTGCCTATACTATCACACTTTCCTTACCCTACGCTTAACGGGATACCATATTCCTTTACAGCCCGCGATGTCCGTAGACCCGCTAGCATGGACCCCAACAGTGAGGACTACCTTACTTGACGGTATTGGCCTGGTTGGGCCTAGGTTGGGTAAAGATGCGCGGCGAAGGGGGGCGGCCTCTCCACGGCAGGGGTGGGTTCTTTAAGAAGAGGTCGACCCCTTCGCTGGGGGGTCCTGAAATGGGGGGACGCTTGCTTGCCCGAGCCGGCTGGGGGTCTGAAGCGGCCCAGCGCTGGTTCGGGCCAGCAGGAGGGGCGGGCAGGTTCGAGGTTTTGGGTTCGGGCAGGTGTGCGTTGCCTTTTTCGGCCTCCGGGGCCGCCTGGGACACTGGGTGGAAAACTGCGCCAGATAGACCCTGGGGGGGGTCCGAGGACCGATTTTGAGCTGATGTGACTTCACCCTCCCCTCCTGAACGGTTTCCTGGGTCCCAGACAGTTCAGACCCCCCCCCCCCGCCTCCAACCTGCTTGGAAGACCGCCACCCTCACCTTGCTCAGTGTTGCGCGCCGCCAATAGTATGGGGCCGCGGCAGCACCCAGACAAGTTTTAGGCCAGAGCTGCCGGGGTTCAAGTGGGCAGGCACAGTGAGAGAGAGGCAGGCACGCAGACAGGCAGACAGGCAGGTTGGCGGACAGGCAGGCAGGCAGGCAGGCGGAGAGACAGGCGGACAGACAGACGTGCATCCAGACAAACGGACAGGTGGAGTGTGCGACGCACACAGCCGCAAACAATCATAGGGATGAGCACACACGTTTGCAGACACACGTGCTGCCCGACAGCGAAGAGCAGTTTCAGGGACGAATGTGGACGCTTGAGGCGGAGAGCGGATTTACAGACGTGGAGTTGTACGCGACGATGGTGATGAGGAGGGAGAAGGTAGATGAGGGGTGGGGAACGGAAGACAGGGCAGAACGAGCAGAGGGAGGAGCCATTTCCCCGCAGAGGTTCGGGCGCAGGCGATCGGGTGCCGAATGGGCGCGATCCTGACAGAGCCTGCGAGACCCCACCATTGTTTTGAACCAGCGCAGGCCGAAGTTGAGGGCAGGTTTGGAACGCCGCGCTTGGAGTCGACTCGGACGTGCTCGGCAGGCTTGCCCATACCATCAAGCAGGAGGGGGTCAGGACAGTTGCGGAAGGACGTGAGCGCTAGGGCGCGTAGATGACCTCCTCGGCAGCTCCGCTTGCTGCCAGGACGTCATCGACTTCTTCCAGGATTGCGGGAAGATAGAGATGATCTGTCTAAAGGTCTTGTGGTTGTCGCTAACTTGTGCGTACCGAGATCCGGCATTGTTGTGCCAGCAGTGGGCATGCCAATCGACCACCAGTGGGCAACACATGTCTATTGTGAATTGTTTGATGCGATCGTTCCGACACCTCGGGCGCACGAAATCGCAACCCACAGGTTTGCAGCGAGGCTTGTTCATGCGATTCAGTCTATACAGATCTTACGTACCCACAGGCATTGTGATGCCTTGCATATGCGCCAGCGTCTCTCTCTCTCTCTCTCTCTTTCTATAAATGTATCTTCAAACGAGGGGCGAAGCCAAATGGGACCCACGTGAGGAGAGTTTCCAGACCCCTCGACTCCCGCACCCGTCCTAGCTTCGAGCGATGCACGCCCGAGAAGGAGACTGAGACAATGACAGCACCATAAGACGCCTGCCGCGTGCTGATTCGTCAGTGCTCCAACCAGACATGTCAGAGAGGAGGACGACCAGAGTAAAGCCAAGATGCATTACATATTCAGCAACACACTCTACCGTCCCAAGTCCGTCATCCGCCATTCCAACGGGTATTCATTTTCACTGAGGGGTGCGCCCCCTTGAAAGACGAGCGTCCCATGCGCTTTGAAAAGAAACTGCCCCCTTGGTAATTGTCAGAATTGTCCAACTGTAGGAGCATAAAGTTCAAGTATTGTGACGGCCTGACGGCCGGTGCCGCCGACCCTGAAAGACATCGACGACGACCAGGAGGAGGAGGAGGAGGAGGAGGAGGAGGAGGAGGAGGAGGAGGCGGAGATTAGGAGGAGGAGGAGGAGGAGGAGGAGGAGAAGGAGGAGGAGGAGGAGAAGGAGGAGGAAAAGGACCCCCCTGGGAGCCCCCCCGCCCCTGGGGAGGAGGACCGGAGGAGGACCGGCGGCGTGGGAGAGGGGAGGGGAGAGGAAAGAGGACCCCCAGGGACAGATGCGTATCTGACTCCCCTCCCCCCCCCTGGGACTCCTTCCCACCTGGGGAGGAGATCCCGAGGAGGACCGGCGCGCCGGAGAAGGACCGGCGTGCAAGAGGAGGTCCCCCAAAGGCGATGCGAATTGGACCCCCCCCTAGGACCCCACCCCCGCGCCGGGGAAGGGACAAAGGGAAGGGGCTTCCCTTTGACGTAATGAGGACGTGGATGGAATTCCCTCAAGCTGCGAACCCGTTCTCCCGAACGAGGAACGGTGAACTCTCGCTCTCTCTCCTCCGACAGGAGAGGAGGATGGGAAGGAGGGGACGAAAGAAGGCTCCTCGTCGACGGGACCAGACAAACACCCCACACACGCCGACAGGGTCGGCGGATTTGTCAAGGGGAGGGCCCCATTTCGAACATGGCACGCTCTCCACCCGTGCAGCGGGTCTACATATTTAACTTTCGGGTCGTGCCGTTCGAGGAAGTCTTGAGTGAGACCCAGTGTAAAAAGTAACCGCCCTGAGTCCATGTGAGAGAATTGCCCGCCCTCCATACGTCTAACACTGCAGCTAATATTTGGCACGACCGTACGCGGCACCAAGGCGATAGCAACATGTTGACAACGGCCCGCACTCCATCAGCGGAGCTGCTGCCAACGTCGGATGTTGAAGTCGGATGGGTGCGGCGCTAAGGCGAGAGCCACATTTTGAACACGGCCCGCCTTCTGTCCGTGGAGCTGTTGCACGTCTTAAGACGAATGTGCGCGCGGCGCTGCGGCGAGAGCAACTTTTGGGAGACGGCCCGACCTGCATCCGCGTGACTGCTGAAAGCCCCGAGCCTCGGGGCCGCGAGTTCTGGGGAAGCCTCCTCCGAAACGCCAGGCCCGCTCCGACCGACACGTCTGGTGCGCGGAGAGGGGGAGCTTTGTTCTCCAACCGTGCTGTGGTGTTGGGTAGTCGTTTTGAATACGTATCGCCCCGCGTCCTCTCCTCTCCCCTCCTCTTATCATCTCTCCTCCCCCGCTTCCCACCTCCCTCATCCCATACTTGCCTCTACCCTCCGCATGCCCATCTTGGCGCACCCCTCACACGCTTCGTGGCCCCATAGGAAGCTCCACCTAAGGCCCCAGTGGTCGTGCCCGCACACCTTCTCCACACCATTTCGGCGCACCCCTCTTGCGTTTCGTGGCCCCATGGAGGGCTCCACTTAAGGCCCCAGTGGTTGCACCCACACCATGTCGGCGCACCCCTCAAACGGTTCGTTGCCCCATGGGAAGTTCCACCTAAGGCCCCAGTGGTTGCAACCCTTCACACGTTTCGAGGCTTTTTAATGAGCTCCACCTAAGGCCCCAGTGGTTGCGCCCGCATGCCTTCTGCACGCATTTCCTGCACACCACTCAAACGCTTCGTGGCCCCATAGGGAGCTCCAACTAAGGTCCCAGTGCCAGGGCCTGCGTACCTTTCCTTCACCATTTCGGCACATCACCTACACCTTTCGCGGCCCCGTGGGGGGCTCCACCGAAGACACGGTACTCCCGACTACGGCATCCACAATTGCATATAGTTGTGTCGTTCGCCAGGCTAATTGGTAATCCGAGGGATGCAGCAGGCACACCACATAAGAAACGGATTTGTCAGCGGGTGTTTTGCGATAATTGTTTATCTCCCGATGAGCCCGCATAGCCTCAGGGCATTTCACGAAGCTCTGAGTCGACGAAGTGTATGCCCCTAGGCTTCTCGTAGAGAGATGTGTTATCGTATGCGCCTACCGTAGAAAGGGGGAGGGGGGAAGGAGGAGCACACGAAGCTGTCCTCCAGCCGTGTGCCGAACACCCTTGCAGCGCACAGGTTATATGGTCGGTTGCTAGTTGTCCGAGCTTCCGCAGCCCGTTCCCTGGAAGCATCCGCCGCCCTCTGCCGTTCTCTTGGGAAAGCCGCGGGCGCTATTGCGTGGAGCTTCAGCCTCCTCCTCCTCCTCCTCCGCCATTCTTTCTGGTTATGAATAACCCTTCCTTGTCTCACCCCCAGACGTGTTGGTAGAGCGGGCCAGGTGTTTCGCTATGTTTCGCTTGTGACTCCCCCAGCATTTATGAGATTGAAGCTTGGAGTCTGAAACAGCTTCAAGAACGGAGGGAGTTGTTGTTTCAAATGGTAGTTATCTTTGTAGCGTTGCGCACACTCGTTTGACTCGTTTGTCACAGCTTCAAAGATCGAGGGTGGGTCTGTTTCAAAATGAGACTCTCGCCCTAGCCCCGCGCGTATTCGTCGCACAAGTTCGCTACCTTTTGAAAGATGGAGGGCGTGTGGTTGTCAAAATTTGACTCTCTCTCTCTCTCTCCTCCGCGCCGCGCACATTCGTTTGACACGTTTGCAACACCCTCAAGGATGGAGGACCAGTCCTTAGTCAGTCCTTTTTCAAAATGCGGCTCTCGCCTTAGACCCGCGCACATTCGCTTGGTCAAAGTCCCAGGAATGATGTTCTGGCACGGTTTAGTATTGTCAGGACGCAACAGTCACGGGGATTCGCGGTGTTGAAGTCCCAGGAGCGGTGTTTTGGCACGAGTTCGGACAGTCAGGAAGCAACAGTCATGTTGATTCGTGGCGTTGACGTCCCAGGAACGATTTGTTGACACGACTGAGGACTCGTAGACGGTTGTCTTCTAGTGGGACATTTCCCGCACTGGACATGCATTATTGTAGAGACCCATGAAAAAGGAACTTGGTGAGGGTTCATTGAGGGTTTATTGCAGCATCGTTGATGCGTCTTGAGTTTACACCGGTCCTCCTCCCCGCCCTCCTCCTCGTCCTCTTCCTCCTTCCCCTCGTCCTCCCAAGCCACCCTTGCAACCCGCGGCTCTCAGGGGGGGATGAGCTTCAATGGTATGCCCTAGGACATCCAAACTCCGATACGTGGCTTATGCTTCATCCGGTGGGGGGGACTGGAGGAGGATGGGATGTGAGGGAGGAGAGGAAGGACAGACTAGGAGGTTAAAATTAGCCTGCCGAAGGACCCAACCATGTGCAGTTGCGAGTACCCCATTGTGGGTACCAGTTTCGGTGGAGCTCCCTATGGGGCCACGAGGCGCTGTCCTGGGTGGCGTTCACGCATGCGGCCTGTGCCACTGGAGCCTTCGGTGGAGCTCCCTATGGGGCCACGAAGCGCTGTCCTGGGTGGCGTTCACGCATGCGGCCTGTGCCACTGGAGCCTTCGGTGGAGCTCCCTATGGGGCCACGAAGCGCTGTCCTGGATAGAATAGGAGGTTGAACAACCACAAGAAGAGAGGGGAAATTAGGAGGAGGAGGACCCTGGCAGCGGGGTCTCCTCATCAGGAATAGGATTCGGACGGGCCAAGCCATGGCACAGTCCTCGTCCGTCTCCCTCTATCCCTGCCCTCCCCCCTCCCATTCGTCCCTCCCCATCCTCCCACCCTCCATCCCTCCCATCCCTTCTCAATCTCCCCTCCTCTTGGCAACCCCCCTCCCTCCCCACCTCCGCTCTCCCCCCTCCTTTTCATCTCGTCCTCCCTCCCTCCCTTCGCCCTTCGCTCGTTCCCCATCCTCAGTCCCTTCTTTCCGTCCTCATGTCCTTTCCCCTCCCCTCCTCGTCCTTCGCCTCTTTCCCCCGCCTTCTCCCTCCTAGCAGTTGATGGCCAAACGGAACATCGCCTGTCTGCACTCCACTCAAACTGGTGCTTGCGGTGGGATGGCCCTGTCTGCTTTGAGATCGAGAGTGGGTCTCGTAACGACGGCGTTTCATTGCAGGCTCAATCAAAAAAGGGTATCGGGCTCGCGTGTTACAGCATTCTGGTGACAGCCTGCACAGGCTGGTCGATGTTGAATTCTAGACGCTTCGCGTAACCCCTCCAGGTCAGCCTTCTGCGCCTTGGTTGGCAGACTTCCTATCGTTCAGATATCCCTGACCCGGTGGGGGTCTTGCATCGCGCCATTTTGGCAGCGTAATTACTGCCTGGTGCTGGTTTGCCGTCAGACTCCCTGGGCTCAGCACCCCTGCACCCGCCGCTCGGCGTCGGCCGCGCCCGCGCGCGCTCGGCAATTTGTAGCGGCCGCAACCCGACCGCT